TTTAGATACAAAACCAAAGGCATGATTCATGAAAGAAAGAATCGATGGGCTGGACTTCATTAAAAGTAAAAGCTTCTGCTCTGTGAAAGACAATGTCAAGGGAATGAGAAGACAAGCCGCAGACTGGGAGAAAATATTTGCAAAAGACACATCTGATAAAGGACAGTTATTCAAAACATACAAAGAATTCTTAACTCAACAATAAGAAAACAAATAACCCAATTAAAACATGGGCCAAAGGTGTTAACAGACACCGCACCAAAGAAGATATGGGAATGGCAAATAAGCATACAAAAATGGCACAGATGTCCCACTCTGGTGGAAGATGCTGCTAATGAGGGAGGCTAAGAGGATGGGGGCATATAAAAATCTCTGTGCATTCTGCTGAGTTTTGCTGTGAACATAAAACTGCTCTAAAAAGTTTAAAAAAAATCATATGGTGCTGTTTCAGACAGGAAGATCGTGTTAAGTGTCTGAAGAAGTGACAACTAAGCTGATATTTGACAAATGGGTAGATGTCAGAGCTGGGGGAAGGATGATCCAGGCAGAGGCAACAAGCGTAAAGGTTTTAAGGTGATAGGAGTTTAGTGCTTAGGGACTGTAAGGACGTCCATGTGACAGGAGAGCAGAAAGAGTCAAGGCTGTAGAGGCAGATAGCAGCCAGATCACACAGGGTCTTGTATTACAAGGAGTTAAGATTTGCTTGGATTTTATCTTAAGATATTTATTGGTTTATCCAGCCATTTGTTCTCGTGTTTGAAACCTCTTCATTCTTTTTCTGCTTCTTTATCACATTTCATATCAATACAAATTCAAACCATTTCCATGTGCGTAGTTTGGACTATGGAGGAAAAGAAGAAAAGTGTCTTTTTTAGAGGATACTGGAATAGTTGAGGGGCTATATCACATGGTCTGGACTTGGAAATGTGCAAGGGCAGCTCAGAGCGTGAGGGGAATGGAAGAGGAGGCTAAAAGAGGGAATACTTAAAGTGTGTACCTCATAGTACTTTGCGATGAGGGCACTATTTTTTCTGCATATTTTTAAATACTTGTTACATGGAAGATAGATTAATATTGGTCTCCTGGTTCCAGGAGCCAGAATTAGATGAAGATGTTTGGAATTTTAAGGAGGCTAACTTCTCAATATGTGACAGTTCTCTAAACCTAAGAGCCCAAAATGGATTTCGGTGCCAGGAGGGGTTATCCTGCTCTCAGGGTGTCTGAGTATGGGCTACATTACTACTTATTCTGGATGTTAGGAAGAAATTAAAACACAAGGAGCCAGATAGATCTGTCTGACCCTTAACACCTCTTTCTACTCTAATTAAAAAAGAAAAGTTGATCCTATAATTTAAACAATGCCTGCAAGGCATAGCGTCAGCTGTAATGTTCTGAGAAAAAGTGGTAATATTATTAAAAATAATAGGAAAGAAGTGAAAAGAAAAACTTTTTATAGATTTGGAAGACGGCTAGAGATGATGAGCATTTTTTTAATATCTTATCCTGTAGGAGAGAGACGAGGGATGCTGGCTGAGGTGCAGAAATAGCAACCATATTTGGAAGGTAAGGATATAGTATTGGCAGAACTTCCAACTGGGGAGAAGGTAAGATAGAAATACTTTATATTAACCAAAGGCTGTATTAGAGATTTCATGGAGGATATACCAGGGAGGAATCAGGGAAAGAAATATTGTGTATGCAAGGATCTTAAGTTACACTAGGAAACTCCTTATCATGGATTCTGAGAGATTTGGGTTGTATAGAAACTGCTAACAAAAAGAGATTTCACAATAAAATGGGAGCATTTAAAACAAGAAGTTGAGAGTTCCCCAGCACTGAAACTGTTCAAGGAGAGTTTACTTGTAAATCTCTGGAGAACATTATATATTTTATGTTAGACCAAGAAAACTTGGAAATGCGATTTTGACTTGGAATTGAACCGTTCTGAGCCTCAGCCTTTGTTAAATGATATTTATACTTCAAAATTTGTTACTTTCACCAAATGGCTTCAAGGCTTAAATAGACATCTGAAAAGGGAATGTTTTCGGCTGATAAAGCATTTTACAGATAGAGAATGCTACCTAGTTGTGTGAGATGTTGGACCAAATCACATTTTGACTCAGCTTGAATTGATGTCTAAGTGGAAATAGGGTAAAGACAGAAAAAGTGTATTTGCTATTAGCTGATTCTCATTGAAGTTTTAGAATGTGATCTCATGAATCAGGAGGGGCCCCTTTATAAGGACACATTGCTCACCTGTACTGAAATCTTCAATCGCAATACAGCCACACTTCCAAACAGCAACTGACTTTACTTTTACATAGCAATCTGATGACAATCTTGGAATGCAGAAATTTGCTTTCTCTCTATTAAATATATAGGCCTGTTCCCAGGGTAGGTGCTTATAATTTCAATAGATGTTCATGATTACTGAGCTTCAAAATATGCTACGAGGCCAAGCCCTGTGATGTAATTGCTTGATACTGCATTTTTCCAAAAATATTATTTAAAATGCTTCAGGCAAGGTGCAGTGAAGCCAATCACATGGTAGTTCATTTTCCAAGGGAGTTGGGTCACTTTTGAAAAGTCATTATGAAAAACATTAATTAACACACATATGGTTTAAACCAGAGCAAACGTTAAAGTAAACCTTAAACTTTTAGTATAATAAATATATCAGTTCAAGTAAATATCAATATTTGAAAAGCTGTTGCTATTTTCAAATCGGATAAAAGAAAGGGAGGAAAGAAATAGAATATATTGAGTCTTCTCTCTATATCAGGATCTGTGCTACACTCCTTGGATTTCTTATATATATTTTATAGACCTTTTGACAAATTTTTAAATACATGTAGTTATTTTTATTCCCATTTAGCAGTTGCAGAAACTGAGGTTTATAAATTTGAGGACATTTTCCATGATCAAATAGTTAGTAAATGGCTCAGGCAGGAAATGAATCAATCTGTTTGCCATGGAAAGCTATTTCTCTTACAGAGTTTCTGAACTCAGAAGAGAGGTGTATCAGTTATCAATTTACTGTCTCAGCTTCAAATTCATCCTTCAATATATGCTCTGTGATAACAGATGAGATTCCTTCAAGCATTTCTCCTTTAATGTGAGCACGGCATTAAGCTTTCTCAGTAGTGGGTGCTGGAGGAACATTGCAAGAGAAAGCAGTTTTCTAGCATTGTTTGCTGCAGCACTGGAGGGAAGTGGGGGGTATTAGCAGTGTGGATGTAAGGAGATCTGACGAAGCTCCACTCAGCCATGGGTCCAGAATGTGGTAGATCCTCAGTGATGTTTGAGCTTCAGATGGGCAATAACTTTTATTTGGCCCTCTCTAAATGGAAACTAGCATCCTGAAGACTTCCTGTCCGTGAGTCTGCTCTCACAGACACCCAGATCCCCTCGACAAGTTGGCCCCTGCATAGTCTGCCTGTGCCCCAGAGCTTCCCAGACCCTTTACACACCCACAAGACCAGTTGCTCATTGCTTTTCATCATCTGCACTCCAGAAAGTTGTCTCCTGCTTGCTTAGTGACTGCAGAACAGCTCTGGCCTGGCCAAACCAGTGAACTTCTCTGCTTTTCAGTGGGTTGAACTACCCTTCCAAGTTTTTTCTTCCTTGAATACTCTCCTACATCCCTAGGGTACCACATAGAGGTTGTATCTTATAATTACTCTTTTATCATAGTTTAATAACTTTTTGCATTAAACTTTCCCTGTTTAACCTACTGTGTGGTTTCTGTCTCCTGATTAGACCCTGACTGATGCAGAGATTTTTTAGTTTCCGGAGTCATTTGTGCATATTTGGTAGTTGAATCAGTGGTAGCAGACATGAGGAGTTAGTGTGTAAAGTGAAAAGCAATGATGGAGGATAAAGTAACAATAAGAAGCCCAAAACTTAGGGAAAAGTAAAGAAAGACTTGGCAATGAAAGAGACGTCATTGACCAAAAGCCCATTCATCAGGGAAACAATGGGAAAAGATGCTATCAAATTAAAAGTAAGGATAAATAAGAAATACCATGGAAAGGGTGACTTTTAGTTGTCTATTAGTGTCATGATTGCAAGGTATCCAACAAAATAGTATAGCTAAGTATCATTATTGAAATAATGTTTGTAGAAGACAGGTTAAAATAAAATAAAAAAAATTATTGCAGAATCTGGAAGTGTTAATTATTGTTTGATTACATTTCAGTGGGAAGCACAGATATATAGCACAAACATGGGAGCAGTGTGAGAAAACTCACAAAGACTTGCATTTAAGAACTGGACTTTAACAAACAGCTAAAGTCCTTGTTGAATCAAGGCATTTTTCTCATTTTAAATTAGAACTTTTGGAAATGTTTTCCTTTTTGTTCAAATAATAAATAATAATTCTTACATAACTTACCCATTAGGAGTTTAACAAAAATTTTTGTCCCAGAGAAAGAAGAGAATGTTATAACCTGACTGGACAAAGAGAGAATAGATAAGCTTTCCTTCAGAGAAGGAGAATGTTTCAGGTAGTGAATATAACATGTTGAAATACTCAATTCCTTGTCCCAAATCCATGAAAAGTACTTTAGAGTGATTTAGGAAAGAAAAAAAAGGAACCAAGTTGATATGATGATGAAGGGGATATTAATAGCAGGGAGTAGAACTTTGTATTTAATAGATGATTTCCAAGACATTGAAAGAGCAAAATAATAAACATGTATTTATAGGTCAAACATATTTTGGTGATGTGTTATGTCCTTGTCATGCAAGGCAATTATGGAAGATAAAATTATGGTTGCATTAGCTTGGGTGCTTAGAAAATGTATCTTTATTTTAAGCCTTGAGAAAATTCCTAGGATAGCAGTAAATAAATTACGACATTCCCAACAAAATTGTTTGTACACAGAATGAGCTTATTTTAGGCAAATAATTATAAAATGAGAGAACAGAGCCCATGTGAGCTATGACCCATTCAACCCTGGAAGTATATAAAGGTCCTGGAAGAGTGGATGATACTCAGACTTCAGAAATATCCTCCTACACCTCAGCTGAAACCTTACTTTCTGACACCATGTGTTGCAACTACTACGGAAACTTCTGTGGGGGCTGTGGCTATGGCTGTGGATACAGCTCTGGCTGTGGCTATGGCTCCCACTATGGCTGTGGCTCTGGCTCTGGCTGCTGTGGTTATGGCTCTGGCTGCAGATATGGCTGTGGCTATGGCTCTGGAGGTGTATATGGCTCTGGATACGGCTCTGGCTACTGTGGCTACCAACCATTTTACTACAGAAGATACTATTCCTCTTGCTGCTAATCATCAGTACAGATCATACTGTGCCCTTGAAAATGATCACTCCAAGTACAAGTACAATTGAAATTCACCCTATCCATTAACTTCACACCAAAGTAAAGAATTATTACTGACTGTTGGGATCCTGATTTAACTTCAAAGAAGCTGTTTGCAACTGTAGAGACTGAGTAGTTCCATCATATCCCTGAAGATCTTATTCTGATCATTTTTCAAATGTAGATTCTTAGATCTTTTTCTCCGGCTGTTTGTACAAGCGCAGGAGGACTATACACTTGGAGTATACTGAAATGGAGCAAAAATAGCAGTTTCTTAATAAAAGACTTTATTTATTAAGAAGTCTGGTTTCCTTTATATCAGAGTCATCATTGATTCCAGGGTTTGTGGCCTTCTGGAAAGCTGGGTGATCACAACTTAGCATAAGACTATGTTTCTTAATTGGTTGAATCCAAATATTAGTGTTTTTTTTTTTACATATCTCTTACTCCTTTATATGTTCATTTATTATATTGTATCTAAGCATAAACACAAATATAACACCAAAAACTTTATACCTTGTGTGGATAAAGGATTAGAATAGGGATGTCAATGAGAAGGGGGAATCTAGTCATGAGGCTAGTGTACTAGCCCTGGACACAATTGATTTGTCTGATCCTGGGTTTGAGTCTTGGTAATGAAGGGGAGACAATACTAATTTAAACAGGTAGCTTTTTCGAAATACATGAAACAAGAGATCTTGGAGTCAGCTGACTAAAGCTACTACAATTGTTCAAGGAAATCAGTGAATGCTAGGAGCATTCTCTCTTCCTGTTCTCCACTCTTTCTGTGACTTTCACACCAGAGTTTCAAAGTGGTTGCTGTATATGCCCAACGTCATGCTCACATTCCAGGCAGGAAAACAGAAGAACAAATGATGAACAGCATCAGGCCTTTTAAAGAACCGTTATCTCTTATTTGGGAAGGGAAACACTTCCGAGATAAAAATATGTTTGCCTCCATATCATTGGCCATTATCATGTTATTTGGCCACACTTAGCTGAAGATGGGTCAAGAGAAAGGGGTGGTAGACAGAGGTTGTGCTAGTCAGCCAACATTGTGTTCCAAAACCCTATCAGTCTTGACTCTCAGAGGAAAAGGACAAAACATGGGGAAGCAAAAAGTAAAATGGACATAAGCTTTTACAGAAATTTGAGTTTGGGCAGGGGCACAATTGATGTCTTCACACATGTTTTGTCTTCAAGTGTAGAAGGTTGAGCTTATGCTCCCACGTTTGCATCATCTTATCATTTGTCCACACTGGGACCTTTTCTGTTTTTTTTTTTCGATTTTTTGTTTAATATATTTATTCTCTTATTTTTCTTTTATTTCTATTCTCACGCCCATCCATCATTTGCAGACATTTTGTAATTTAGGTTATTTTATATGCACCATCTCATTTCATCCTGCAAAATTCTAAGAGTTAGTCATTATATTTGATATTTTAAATTTACATAAATGATATTATATATCTTTAACTTTTTCTCAACTAAGTATGATTTATGTAGAAAGATCCATCTATGCTATTTATGTGTACATTTAGAACGTTATTTTTATTGCTGTGTGATACTCCATATGGTTTATATACAAGATTTTTCTTATTCACTCTCTCAGTGATTCACACACGACTGCCCCCAGATCCCCTTCACCACAGTATTGCTGCAATGGACACACATTCCCTTGAGGGGTTCCATGAGAATCAACCCAAGATCTGAACTGCATGGACAGATGGTGTGGATATAGTTAATTTTATTAAGCACTGCCAGGTTACTCTCTAGAATGTCTGTACCAGTCCAAACACTAAAATTGCAGTTCTTACATCCTCACATCTTTACCAGAACTTGGTATTATCTAACCTTCTAATGTTTGGTAAGTGAAAGTGATATCACCTTGTTGTTTTAATTTATATTTTCCTGATTACTAATAATTTTGAATATTTTGTATTTCTTCAAATATGTGTTAAACTTTACGTTTTTTTCTTCCGTATCCTTTGTCCATTTTTCCATTGGAGTTTTTGTTTTTTTCTCATTGGTTTGTAGGATTTTGTTATGTATTCTTGATATTATTCCTTTGTAATTTTTACATATTACAAATATCTTCTAAACTGTTATTTATCTTTGTCCATAGTGTGCATAATTGAACAAAGATTTTTAGCTCTATGATTTGTGATTTTGTAGTTTTGTTTAAGACCTACTCTACACTTATATCAAAGATAGTCTACATTTTATTTTAATAACTGTAAAGTGTTATATTTCATATTAAGATAATTAATTCACATGGAGTCTATCTTTATATGTTGAGCTTCAGCTTCATTTTTCGCTATACTTAACAGGTTTCTCCAACATCACCTATTAAACAGTCTATCCTTTGTCAATGATTGGTCGCGCACATTTACTGTATATTGTTTCTACATATATATGAGTCTGTCTCTGAACTCCCTACCGTGTTCTCTTTACATCATGTCTCTTCAGATATTTCAAAAGCTTTTTTTTTCATGGCAGAGAATTAGGTTTATTCTACTTTGTGTTTCCACTGAAGAGAACTAGGTCCAATGGGTAGAATTTAAAGACAAACAGACTTCACAAGATAAGAAACTTTTCTAATGGTTAGAGGAGTGTGAAAATGGAAGTGGCTGTCTTGTAGGTATCATTATCCTGAAGTTGCTTAAGAGTTTGGCTCTGCACTTACTGGAGAAGTATGAGTAAATCTGTGCATTCAGAACACAGGTTTAATTAATTGATTCATATCATTCACTTTTACTTTGAAATTTAATGATTCTGTAAGTAAAGAATAATTTAAGGTAAAGTTTAGGCAACCTGGATAAGGATGATATGGCCTGGAAAGCCAGAAAAAACACAACACCCCATTCTATTGCAGAGACAAGAAGAAGAGTATTGGTTTGAGGTACACTTTGAGGCCTCTACTTTGAGTCAGTATTTCTGAATTGTGGTAATCTGTGCAGAAAATGATCCCCACAGGATGGGAAAGAGAGAGAGAGAACCGATTCAGTAAAGTCTTTGCAGAAGAACTCATGGGTATCGTCAGGAATTAATGTGCTGATAAATAGTGTAGTCCAGTTCTTGAAGGGATATGGGGATCTCCTCATTATGGGTTGCTGAGAGATTATGAGCTATGATGTGGTGATAATAGTTCAGTTGCTTTGAGAAACAAACGTCTCATTATCGTAACCATTTAAGGACAGAAGAGTTGGTCATCCACCAGGAGTATGCATGCAGAAAAGCATAGTACTTTGCTACTTATTAGCTTTGTTACTTTGGTCTACTAACATAACAACTCCTTAAAACTCAGTTTCCTTACATGAAAATGCAAGTAAAATGTATTCCCAATATTGTGGCTTGGTTCAGATTTAATAATATTTTCAAAGGCAATTTGCATAACATGAACCATTGTAGGAAACTTGCAGAATGAATTTCTCTCCTCTATGGGAGGTTGCAAAGGAAAAGCAGTAATCAAAATTTTAAGAGATTAATTAATATATTTATTCACACAACTCTCTAAATATATTCTCTATAATTAGTGATAGATGTTTTATAATCAACATTTATTCACTTAAGTCTCCACTTGCAAGATATGAAATTCTGAATATATTCAAAAATAGTCACACTCTCAGATATGTTTTCCTATGATGCTAATCCTTTTGGTGATACCAAAATTTGAAATAAGAATCTCAATTGTTTTCCATATTGAAACCATACAATGTTTTCAAGCCAAAAGTTTTACAGGTACAAGATCTATGCTTCTCATAATTACTGTGTTGAACATATGTTATGATGCCAAGCCCAGTGAATTGTCATAGTATTCTGAGTAACAATTTGTTGTACAAAATGCCTCAACCTCATTATAATTAGTTTAACAGTAGGATAATTAAGTTTCTCAGGATTCGGTTGTATTTGCTTCCTTCATTAAAGTTCAATTAATAGAGATTGAACAAATACATGGGGTACATATTATTATCACACACATTTTCAGTTGATGCCCAATTAGCTTGAAAACATTTCTTAAGGTTGTACAGTTTGTAAATGGTAGAGCCAGGATTCTGACCCAGGTCTCTCTGATTTCAAAAGACTTTTCACATTATAAATATTTGTGAATTAACTTGGGAATGAGTAATGTAATCTAGTTTTTAAAAGAAGCAAAGACTGGTGGCCATCAGAAATTTGATTACAGATCAGGTGTAGAAAGTGGCATGGCACCCATAATGAGGACTTGTACTTCAGTGACTATATATTTATTTTATTTTATTAAGGTCATAATAGTTTATAACATTGTGAAATTTCAATTGTACATTATTGTCAGTCACCATATTTATGTACCCCTTTACCCCTTATGCCAACCTCTCAACACCCTTCCCCTCTGGTAACCACTAATCTTTTCTCTTTGTCCATTGTTAATCTTCCACATATGAGTGAAATCATGTGGAGTTTGTCTTTCTCTTTCTGGCTTATTTCGTTTAACATAATACCCTCAAGATCCACCCATGCAGTTGCAAATGGGATGATTTTGCATTTTTCTTTTGGCTGAGTAGTATTCCATTGTGTATATATTCCACATCTTTATCCATTCATCAGTCGATGGGCACTTGGGTTGCTTTCACATCTTGGCTATTGTGGATAATGCTGTGGTGAACATAGGGGAGCATACATCTTTTTGAATTGTTGAGTTCAAGTTCTTTGGATAAATACTCAGTAGTGGGATAGCTGGGTCATATGGTATTTCTATTTTTTGAGAAATCTCCATATTGTTAATTTTTTCATAAATCTCCACACTGTTTTCCATTGTGGCTGCACCAGTTTGCAGCGTAAGAGGGTTGCCTTTTCTCTATATCCTCTCCAACATTTGTTATTTTTTTGTCTTGGTAACTATAGTCATTCTAACAGATATAAGGTGATATCTCCTGGTAGTTTTGATTTACATTTCCTTAATGATTAGTGATGTTGAACATCTTTTCATATGCTTATTTGCCATCTGTACATCTTTTTTTGGAAATGTATCTGTTCATATTCTCTGCCCGTTTTTTGATCAGGTTGTTTCTTGTTTCGTTGTTGAGTTGTGTGAGTTCTTTATATATTGTGGAGATTAAATCTTTGTCAGATAGATGATTTGCAAATATTTTCTCCCAGTTGGTAGGTTGTCTTTTCATTTTGTTCATGGTTTCCTTTGCCTTGCCAAAGCTCTTTAGCATGATGAATTTCCATTTGTTTACTTTTCATTTTATTTCCTTTGCCTGAGTAGACATGGTATTTGAAAAGATGTTTCTAAAGTCAATGTCAAATAGCGTACTG